CATCTTTGAAAATCTGTCAACCACAACAAGAATGGAATCCATCGCCCGCTGTGTACGAGGTAAGCCCAAGACAAAATCCATGCGGACATCAAACTAAGGAACTTCAAGTACAGGTAATGGCGTGTACAATCCAGCATTAGTAAGAGCTCCTTTAGACCGCTGACATACATAACACCGCTCTACATAATGTGCCACATCACTGCTCAACTTGGGCCACTAATAATCAGAAGAGACCAATGCCAATGTCTTGTCTCGCCCAAAAATTCCTTCGTTATGAAGTTCACTAATAATCTGCTGCCTTAGTGAAAAATCCGGAATGCATAACTGCAATCCATGAAACAGGTAACCATTATGTAAAATAAAATTATGTCGGTGATTATTAGTTACCTCCCGAGTTATCTTCCCAAATGAAGGTTTTGCAGCACACATATCCGAAAATGCCTCAAATCCGAAAGTCTTGGTGCTCATGGTGGTGAGGAGTAAATGTTCGATGGCTCAATACATCTGCTACTCGATTCAAACTCCCTGCTTGATGCCTTAGTGTGAAAGTAAACTCCTGCAAGTAGCCACCCACTTTGCATGTCGCCTACTCAGCTTATGCTGACCATTGATGTACTTCAAGGCCTCATGATCAGTATGCTTCAGAGTCTGAACTATGGCATAGAACTCCAGGTCATAAGTGGAATAATTTTTCTTCGATCCCAATAGCTTCTCACTAAAAATGGCTATTCGACGCCCATTTGATTTAGAACACTACCAATACCAATTCCAGACGCATCATAGTTTACCTCGAACACCTTCTCAAAGTTCGAAAGTGCCAAGACTGGGGCCTCCGTCATCTTTTGCTTAACCAACTGAAAGCTAGCCTCTGCCTCCTCGGTCCACTGAAAATCACATCCTTTAAGGCACTCTGTGATAGGAGCAATCAAGGTACTAAAGTTTCTGATGAACCGAGGATAGAAGGATGCCAATCCATGGAAACTCCTGACATTGTGCAAAGTTTTTAGCTTGGACCAATTCAAGACTGCCTCAATTTTAGATTGATCTGCATGAACAGCATCAGTAGACATAACAAAACCCAAAAAAGTTACAGAAGTTGTGAAGAAAGAACACTTATTCTGATTGATGAATAAGCGCTCCGTCCTCATTACAT